TATTTTTCTCAGATTTCTTCTTGTCATACAAATTGTAAAACCAACTCTGTAGTAAAAAGAACAATAAGACCATTCTTACCTCACCAATGACTTAAAACTGTAATAAACAAAGAGGGAATTTACATAAATTTATGTACAAAATATGTAAATGTGTGCATAGTATCTTGTAACATATCTGACTGTGGAAAATGAGTGAGCTAGCCTGAATAAATCATTTAAGCAGGTTAACAAGAGCTATTAATAAATTTTAATTTGTAAAATTTAACCTAAGTGGCCAGGCATGGTGGCCATGCCTATAATCCCAGCAACTTAAGGAGGAGAGAAGGCAGGAGGGCCATAGCTAGAGGCCAGTTCAAACAAAAAGTTAGCAAGACCGGATGACAACAAACAAGCCAAGCATCCTAGCTATGCAGCAGGTGAAGGAAGGAGGATCACAGTCTGAGGTTGTCCTGGGCAAAAGCACAAGACTCTATCTGAAAAACAAATTAAAGCTGAAAACAGCTGGGGGCCTGGCTTAAGCAGCAGAGTGCTTGCTTAGCAAATCCCTTAGTTCAAATCTTAGTAACACACATACACACACAAAAATTAGCATGAGCCATTTCACATACAGAAGAATGTATCATTAAAAATTATATAACAAATGTTAAAAGTATGTGGAGAAATTGGAATCCTCACATACTGCTGGGAGGAATGTAAAACGGTGCAGCCACTTTTGAGAAAAAGTCTTATAGGTCTCACAAAGTTAAATATAGCCAGCAACCAATGGCTCATGCCTGTAATCCTAGCTACTCAGGAAATGGAGATCAGGATGATCATGCATTGAGGTCTGAGCAAGAAGTTCATGAGACTGAGCTAAACTAATAGCTAGGCAAAGTGGCATGTGCCTGTTATCCCAGCTATACAGGAGGCTGAAGGGAGAATTGCAGTTATAAGCCAGATATAAAGTTCCTAAGACTCTAACAGAAAAAGTTGAGTGTGGTAGAGTACACCTGTCATCCCAGCTACAGAGGGAAGTGTAAATAGGAGCATCATAGTCCAGACTGGCCCAGGCAAAAAGCAAGGCTCTATGTTGAAAATAACCAGAGCAAAAAAGGACTGAAGATACGAGTAGAGTACCTGCCTAGCAAGCTTGATGAATCTTCAGTTCAAACCCCAGGAACATAAAAGGTAAAGGAGGAGGAAGCAATGGAAGAGGAAAGAAAAAGGGAGGAGAGTAAAAGGAGGAAAGATGGAGAAAAGAGAAGTTAAACATTTGAATTGCCAATTCACTCCTAGGAATATGCCCAAGAGTAATGAAAACATTATGTTCATGCAAAACATAGTGCTTATAACAGCATACAAGTTGAAGCAACTATAAAGGTCATCAATGGATGGATAAACAAAATGTGGTATATCCACATAATGAATATTTAGCCATAAAAGCACTGCTATAACTCCAATAAACCTGGAAACTAATGTAGTGTTTGCCACAGTCAGCAAATACTACATCTGTGTGATTCCACTTAGAGAACTGGCAAATATATAGATACAGAATGTAGACTAGTGAGGTGCTTTAGGGCTTAGAGGATGGTGAACTTCAGAAGTTATAACTAAAGGGTTGTAGTGTCAATGACTGTATAACTTTGTAAATACACAGAAACCCTCAAACCATACACTTAAAATGGGTAAGCCACACAAGAGTGTGATTTATATTTCAATAAAGTTATTATCAAAAAGACAAAAAAACAGACAAACAAAACACAGTCTGTAAATAAGATAAAATTTTCCCTGGAAAGCTTTTCAAAGATGTCACAAACACAATTTTCAAGGGAACTGACACACCACAGGTCTGGACTCTTTGCCCTATGAGCAGATTCTGCCTTTGAAATCCGAAACAAAGGTAGGGATAAAGGACATTGCTCTGATATTATTTTAAAGCAATACTTCTTAGAGCTAGGTTGGGGTGGAGCTAGTTTTTATTTTTAAAAAAGACACCTTTATAAATGACCCAAAGGTGAGAATGGACTGCAAATTCTCCAAGTTGGTAACCACAATAAACTCTTTTGACATCAAAATGCCTACGTAACAGGAATAATGGCAGGGCTTATTCACTAGTTGTTATGTAAGTTGGCACCACACTATAAGCCAAACTACTCAAAGAGGCTATAAAGGATTTATATGACACAGCATTAGGCATGAAAGCTCATTACCTGAAGACAATTTACACATGAGAAGTTAAATATATGTGCGTACGGTTAGGCCAGTGGCTGAACATTTTCTCCTGCTAGAAGGTTTGACACTCAGAAGGGAGAGGCAGGTACCTTTCAAGGTACACCTGCAACCCCCCCCCCCACCTACTATGGGCAGCTGAGAAATTTAAGTACAGTTGGAAAGAAAAATGTTGTGTTCCCTGAGGTCTTCCCCTTCCTTCCACAGAAAGAGCCCCAGGGCTGATAAAGTTGGCAAGAGAAAAGTTCAGGGCCTCCTTTTCAAGTCTACTGAGAGAAGGAAAAGGAGCCAAGCTAGCTGTCACAGTTGTGATTGTAGAGCAATCACACCCTGGAATGTTCCAGGGTGTGAAGAGACAGGTACACACCTGTCAAGACCAACTACACAGCTGGCAGGGCCCAGAACAAAATGAAAATGTATAGAACCTGGTTCCTGAATGTTTGTGGATCCTACAACCATCAGAGCATAGCATTACAGTACACATGGGGCGTGGAGGGCTCACAACAGCCCTGGCTGGACAACCAGGAGTCAGTTCGGGCTCCTGAGCAGTAGAAACAGAGGTAGATAATTTTGAGGAAACACAGACTTTTCTGAAAATCAGAAAATCAAGGTCACCTAATGCACACAGAGACCATGAGTGGTACCATGTTGGTTATGTAGCCCAGAGATTTTTTATATACATACTATATTGACATTTATTTACATAATTATTTATATTATGAAAATGGCACAGTGTACAAGCTCTTCTGTGAAACTTGTCCCTTGCTGGAGAACCTTTTAAAATGTTCATAAAGATAGCTCATTTAAATTTTAATTTATAGATAATAGAACATATATAAATCCAAGTTCCATGTTTTCAAATGCTTAGTTGGGGTTTCTAAAGAGCCCTGAGCTTATTACAAATGATGAGAATTGAATAGTAGCAGCATTAAGTGAGGAATGAATGAGTCAATCAAAAATATAAAGCAGGGCTGGGAAGGTGGCTCAATGATAGAGTGCTTGCCTTGCATGCATGAGGCCCTGGGTTCGATTCCTCAGCACCACATAAGCAGAAAAAGCCGGAAGTGGCGCTGTGGCTCAAGTGGTA